TATTTACTTGTTATCAGCCATTGGTATATAAAAGTGATAGAAGATTAATTTCTAGAATTATAATATAATTAATTGGCTTTCAATATATTAATAGACATTCGCTAAATAAATTGCATACAGCTATGTTGATAGGAAAAAGGATGGCTATTCATTAGAAGAACTTTTTTCGTGACGACTGATTTTGCGAAAAACCAGTGAACGGAAATACATCCCAACGTGATTATGTATCTAATCTGAATACTCATACTCAATCAATATATCTAGGGAAATAGTAATAAGACAAAAGAAACAATTTCATCGTTTGTTATGAAAGAGTGTTTACGCAGGTTTTGATGAATTTGTTAAGTGAAGTATATATTTCTCAAGTATGAAGCAATTAGTAACTACGACTGCCTTTCTAAAATACTTATAGCCAGAAATATCTAAGAAAAAATCGATACTGATACTTTTCTATAGCTATTTTACTTATGAATTTAATGAATTCTTAGCGTATATTCTATATTATCAAATGTTTATGTTCTCTTCTTCAGATTTCTGTAATCCTTATCTGTATTGTAATCCAGTACTAGTACATCTTTTACATTCTGTAAATATATCGTTTTTCATTCGAAAAAAATATTTGATCTCCAATGTGATAGTGTACTAGAATGTTTACAATGCAAATAAAGTAACTGTTAAGAAAGTGATACGTTAAAAATATTGAAAACGAACCATCACCTAAAGATCATTAAGAAAAAAATTTGCATAGCAAAGTATAGATGTCGATGTTTCTATTATAACTTTTTACAGACGCAGTCGTTAATTGTTTCATACTTTGCTTCACATACTCATATAATTTCATGAGAAAAACGTTTTTAGTTAGTTATTGAAGAAGAATAAATATAAACAAGAGTTATAATAGTCGTATTGTAAATATTAATAGAATTTACCTAATGTATGATTATCTAAAATATTCGAAATATGTTTAAGAGAAGTTTTATGAATGAGTATTGATATATAATTTACTTCAAAATTAAATGAACTAAGGCAAACGAACGAGAATAAATGAATTGTTTACTTTAGAAACTTTCTATTGGTTCAAATCTACCATTATCAATAACTCTTCAATAATCAAATTAATATAAATAAAATAATTAAATTTTCTTGAAATTTTTCTTTTTTCTTAAAAAATAAAATAAATATTTCAAATAAATTATAAATACCAGTGGCTCCCTCTTGATTATCCTAAACATATATATCTTTGATTCATTCTTCATTTATTTATTATCCTTAGAAGAAGAAGAATAAGAATGTATGCATCAACATGTGCTTGTAAAGGTATTCGTTCATGTAATCTTTGTCAACCAACGAAAGATCATGTCCTAGATGAATTTCAATCATATACAACCTATATTTATTGTGATTCATGTCGTCAAGCAATTCGTATGAATATCTATGAATCAAATGCTCAATGTCCACATCATAATGATATTGGTAATGATGAAATAGGTTTTCCATTAGATGGAATTTATCTTGTTTCGGATTTTATAACTGAAGATGAAGAAAATAATTTAACCAATTCAATTGATAATGATATATGGTTATCATCTCAATCAGGTCGTTTAAAACAAGATTTTGGTATAAAAATAAATTTTAAAAAACAAACAATAAAAACAAAATATTTTACTGGTATGCCAATGTATTCGAAAACATTTATTGAACGTTTACAAACACATCGTTTATTAAATGATTTTCAATCTGTTGAATTATGTAATCTAGATTATTGTTCACAACGTGGTTCACATATTGATCCACATATTGATGATATATGGATATGGGGTGAACGTTTAATAACAATAAATTTACTTTCAAATACAATTCTTTCATTAATACCTAATGATAAAGATACAAAAAAAATTATTTATATTCCATTACCACGTCGTTGGATGATTGTACTCTATGGTGATGCAAGATATGAATATAAACATGCAATACAACGACAACATATATCGGAAAGACGTATAGCTATTACATTTCGAGAATTAACAGGAAAAACTGAAACATTTTCTGTTGAAAATAAAGATTTATATGAAAAAATTATTCGTATTGGTAAACGTTTTACAGGAATATCTGTTGGAAGATTTGAAAAAATTGTTAATGAAATTAATTCAATGATAAATGTGAGTTTAAGATTAGAAATTATTCTCTTTCTCCTAGAGAAGAGTCCAGTAAACATAAATTGTTTGTCTGTCCGCAGGGCCAGAAAAACATTGCAGACCGATTTTTCGAAAAAGACATTTCTAGAGGTATTTTCGATATGGGGACTTCGAATTTGAGGTCTGTTGGATGACCAACGTGAAGGAGAGGTCAAAAAAACATCGAAAACGAATTTTTCCAGTAGATGCGAAGACGATACATTTTCACGAGAAAGAGCTAAGCGAGTCCTGATACGAGCGTTACTTGTTATTTTAATATTAATTTTATTTCATTTAGGATAAAATGGAAACTGATACATTATCATTACAAGAAGATCAATTGAAAGAATTATTTGAATCAACTTACCAAACAAAAATATCATCATTTGATATGATTAATCCATCGACTTATGTAATCAATTCGGATAAGAAATATCTTATAAAATTATTTCCACATTCATTAATTTCTCTTGAACAATTACAAACAATTTTATCATCATGTCAATTAAATGAAACAATTCTTAATATATCAATTAATCAATCTCATATTATTATTATTGACTATGATAGTAATTTATCAACAAATAAACAAATGGGTCATTTTTTAGCACAATGGCGTTTAGCTACACGTAATATTCTTAAATCATCTTTAGAAAATTCTCTTAATGAGCAATGGTTTAATCAACAATATGCGATGATTATTAATAAGAAAAAAAATAGTTATCCATTTTTATTGTCGAATTTATTTACATGTCAACAACAAATAACTGATCAATGTGAATATGGTCTTTTATGGACAGATAATTCTCAATCATCTTATCTTATGGATTTAGCATCCATATTTTTAAATGATATGGATAATATTAAAGAAATATTTAATGCCTATGAAGAAATTGTTCAATTAAATGATAATGAAATCAATTTATTAGATACATTTGTTCGTTTACAATTGATTTTATCAATAAATAATAATGATATCGATGATGAAAAACAATTAGATTTACTTGAACAACTTTCATCAAATATTTTTTTTGTTCGAAATCTTGTCAGATGATTTGTTTGTTGGTTTTTTTTATTCATTATTAAAAAAAATATTACATCTCTCTTGTTTATTTTCGATATAAAACTTCTTTTTTTTTCTTTAATTTTTATAGGCGCTTTATTCGAGTAAGATTTAAGGTATAAAATTGATTGCTTCGTTGATTTGCATAACTGCTTCTATATTGATTTTGATTATATAAATAGAAAAAAGAAACAATGCCTCGTGTAATTGGTTTAATGAGTGGTAGTTCATTAGATGGTCTTGATATAGCTTGTGTAGATTTCTCTTCTATCGGTGATTATCCTTCAGAAAAATGGACATTTAAGATTGTTCATGCTGAGACTATGCCTTATTCATCTGATTGGGTAAAAAAATTATCTACAGCTACGGAATTAGATGCTCGATCGTATCTTCTTTTACATACATCATACGGACATTATTTAGGTCAATGTGTAAAGGATTTTATTACTAAATATAATTTAGAAATAAATACTATTGATTTAGTTGCATCACATGGTCATACAGTATTTCATGAGCCATGGAATTCTATGACTGGACAAATAGGAGACGGTGCTGCAATTTCTGCTGAAACAGGTTTATTAGTTGTCAATGATTTACGTGCAATGGATGTTGCATATGGTGGTCAAGGTGCGCCTATTGTTCCAATTGGTGAAAAATATTTATTTGATAATTATCGTCTTTTATTAAACATTGGTGGAATTGCAAATATAACTGATCAAAAACATCAAGTTGCATTTGATATATGTCCTGCTAATCGTATATTAAATAAACTTGTTCAACAATATTTAAATAAAGAATATGATGAAAATGGTGAATATTCATCACAAGGTAAAATCAATGAAAAGTTATTGAATAAATTAAATGAATTAGATTATTATAAAAAATTCTATCCAAAATCTTTATCGAATTCATTTGGCCTGGATATTATTTATCCATTATTAGAATCAAATCAATCCAATGTTCATGATGTTCTACGTACTTATGTTGAACATATAATACAACAGATTTGTGATTCCATACAAATGATTATTGATAAAGAAAAACAAGATAATTCATCGTATGTTAATTGTAAAATGTTAATTACAGGTGGTGGTGCACATAATAAATATTTATTTCAAGGTTTAAAAACTAAACTTCAAGAAAAATTTCATATTGATGTAATCGATTCAATGAGTGATGTAATTGATTTTAAAGAAGCTTTAATTATGGCTTTTATTGGTTTATTACGTATACAAAAGAAAACAAATGTTTTAGCTTCAGTAACTGGAGCAAAATGTGATACAATTGGAGGAGCTGTATGGAGTAATTAATTATGATTATTTTTTATGGGATTATATAAACGAGATTTCTATTTTTATTTGTATTAATTGATTTTTGCTTATAATTAATATAACAAGAGATAATAAGATAATCATATTTTACTTAAAAAACGTTTCTTCCTGGAGTTATGATGATCGCGCTATGAACTTTCTATTTTCGCGAGAATAAAAAATCTAAATGAAACATTGTTTGTAGTTTTGTTGTCGTATTAACCTACTGATGATAATTCAAATTATATTAGAGAGTTTTTCGAACTAGGCAAAATTATTTATTTAAAAGCATATTCTTAATATCGATTGTTCTCAATTTACTTACGATCTCATTTATGTAGTTCAGTTTCGCTATGTGAATCAATCCGATTTTTATTATTTATGAATGAGAGAAAAAAGAATGATACTTTTTTATTTTAGATAATTAGAAGAATATAATTGAAACTGATAAGAATGTTTTTGAGAATTTTTAATCGTTGTGCTTCGACAGCAACTGCTAGTCGTCCAACAAGTTTTACATTCCCTCAACGTCTTAATCGTTCACCAACAGCAATACTTGAAGCATTAAATTCATGTGTTCAAACTGATGGTGGAAATCCAGCATATATCTTTATGGATGATCCATTTCTAATACCAACATCAGGACATGAAAAACGACAATTAGCATTATCAAAAGCTTCAGGTAAAAAAGCGGCTCGATGGATTATTGATCGATATTCTTATGCATTTTTTCATGATGTTGCTGCACCATCAATACCATCATATTTCCCAAGTTATACATTTGATGAAAAAGAATTTATTGAACCAGATGAAACAACTCTATATAAATTAATGAATTGGAATAAAATTACAAAAGCATATGAAATATACAAAAAATGTTTAGAGAATAATGTTGATATATCAAGTACATGCAAATATGCCTTATTTGATTTATTATGTATTTATAATAGTGAAAATCCAATGGATACTTTACCACCGGAAGAAGATTGGTATAGAAGAGAATTAAATGAAACAAATCAATCAGGTAATAATAAACTTCAAAAAGTTGTATACTGACGAGAGAAGACGTTCAAACCGCTAAGACTCTATCTGTTAGCACAAGTAGAACTCCAAAGGATGTATTCCCTCGTGTCTTGATCTTTACCCATTAATAGGTCTAATGATCCCTAGAATATTCCTAAATTTTCAACCATTTCTTAAGAAAGTATTCGGCTTGACTGAAACTTCAAGAATATTCTAGGCATCATTATTCTCTTTCTCGTAGAGAAGAGTCCAGTAAGAATAAGTTGTTTGCTTGCTTGTCTGTCCGCAGGGTTAAAAAAACATCGAAAATCGATTTTTGGAAAAAGACATTTTTAGAGGTATTTCGATGCAGGGACTTCGAATCTGCTGTTAGTTTTTTAAAATTCTTTAAAAAAAAGAATTTTTAGACAAAGGATCATTTTTTTACAAAAAGCTTTTTTTTTATGAAAATTTGACAAAATGGTTTTTGGGGTCGGGGAACACGAATCTGATATTGATGTTTGCAAGTTATATAAGCAAAAAGTCCCGTAGCATTGTAGAATACCATATCTACAAGAAAGAGCTAAGCGAGTCCTTAGACGAGCGTTACTTGTATCTCTTTATAGACGAAATATCATGACTTTGACAGAAGCGCCAGTATAATAATCATATCTTAAAAATAAAAGTACACGGGGAATAAATCCTTTTGAGGTTTACTGATGGACAAAAGATGAAATCTAAACGACTTCAACATCTAGAGACATTCCCTTATGAGTATATATTATATATTTGACGATAAGAGAAGAACGAATTATTTGAAAATAGTGTTTTACAAGATAAATGAAGCAATATATGATTTCCACCACTCAATACAAAAAGGGTCGGATTTTCTAGTTTTTAAATAATGTATTACAGTCTCCATATTCATAAGTTACAGGCATTTTTTACACCCGGTTTTCACCTTGCTATTTGAAATCATCTTGAATTCTATAATTTATCAAATAAAACATTTTGAAATCATGTTATTATTTTATACTTAAAGGTTTAACTAAACGAACTTGGAAAGATAATGGTTTAGCTGAACAAATGTTCGAAGAATTAAAACTTTCTGCAACATCAGTTGAACAAAAAATTCGTCTCTATAATTCATTTGCTAGTGGTTTACTTAAATATAATTATGCTGAAAAAGCTATGACAATTCTTGATGAAATGAGACAAAATAAGATTTCAATTGATTTAACAACCTATAATTATCTTCTTCGTTCAATTAGTTCTATTAAAGAATCTTATGAAGCACGCTGGCAATTTATAACTGAATGTTTACAAGATATGAAACAAAATTCTATTCAACCAAATTTACGTACATTTAATTCAATACTTTATACATTAAGACGTTGTTCATTATATGAACAAGGTCCCATATTAGCATTATCAATACTAAAGGAAATGCGACAATGTGGAATTGAACCATCATTAGGTACATGGGCACATATTATTATGATATTTTATCCAAATGATCAAATTGGTTATGAAACACAAATATTACCACAGATTATGGATGAATTAGAAAAACAATATGAATCAAATGGACATCAATTTCAATGGAAAGATATTGATGATAGTGAATTCTTTTTTAATGCAATGTTTAAAGCGACAGTAAATTGTCGAGATATTGACTTAGGTAATTCATTCTGTGGATATTTAACCGTATATATAGAAAATATCTTGCCTTGGAATCATGACAACTTCCTTAAATAACATTAAAATGTATTACAGCTGTAAAATGCAATCCGCAATGATTGCGGTCAAAGGAATCGATTTTTAAGGAATATTACTAGGGGGAAACAGCGGACTTCAAGACTTCGAAAGACCAAGAAACTTCAACAAGCGAGACTTCATTTTTTCGAAAGACTTTAGTAGACTTCGATAGACTTCAAAAGATTTCAAAGATTTCAGATGACTTCTAGAGACTTCAAAAGACTACAAGAAACTTCAATGGACTTCACAGATTTCAAAAGACTCCATATGACTTCATGCATGAAGTCTCTGTTGTTTCTCCCTTGGAATATTACAGTATTTTCTATTAGATTCGGTAGAAAATTAAATTTAGTTCTTTCTTCTACAGTTATTCTCCAGACTGCACTTTAGTCTTATTTAAAGATATGTTCGTTATTCGAAGGCAATATATAATTTTAAAAAATTAGGAAGCACTTTCAACGTAGATTCAGAATGAGTATTTTTACAAAACACATTGTAGCCGATGAGAAAATAGCGTGATATCTTTGCATCATCCGTTAATTGAATAATTAAACATTTTAATGAATGAGAATTTGGATAATTGCACGTAATATAGCAGAAAAATGAGATTTCTGTACATGCGAATAAATTTACTAAATATCTATAAGATTTTCTTTTTCTTTAAGCTAAACGTATTCATCGTTTTCTTATGACTGGTTCAAATAGTCGTTTTATCCCTGATGGTTTTAAAGAACAAATGTATTATGCAAATTTATTTCGTTTACTTTTTCGTGTTGATATGCCTGAACAGGTTATGCCATTATGGGAATCCGTTGTACCAAATATTTATTCACCATCAATAAATGTTATTGAAGATCTAATGGAATTTATTTCAACATGGAATATAAATGATTATTATGTTCGTCTTTGGTCAGATTTACTTATGTTAGGTTTTATTGATAATAAACAAAATAATCGTCGAATTATTGAACGTTATTTAATGTTACTTAATCGTACAAATACTCAGGAAAATTTATCGAAAGATCAAATTAAACAATATGCAAATATAGCACGACAAATATTAAAACGTTTTCCTTTAGTACCTGAAGAAGAACAAAAATTTGAAAATACGAATGATAATCAAAAACAAGAAATTAGTGAAGAACAACAACGAAGAAATCAATTTAAACAACTTCAACCAGTATTTCAATATAGTGGACAATTATTATCAAATCTTATTTGTTTATTAGCACAAGCCGATGATTTTGATGCTAGTTGGTCATTATACGAACATTATTTATCGAATAAAAATACACTTATTAATCCATTAAATGAAAAAAGTCTTATGTTATTATTATCATTATCAATCAAACAAAATCATATTAATCGTGCATTAGATATAATTGAAACAATCAATGAACTTAATTATGAATGTTTAAGTGATGCACTTGATCTACTTAATCGTAATGTTAATTTAAGTATTAATGATCGACAACGTTTAAAAACAATACAAAAAAATTCTTCATTAGAGAGTGCACATCATGTTAAACTTATTTAGGATATTTTCAATAAAAATATCGATACAAAAATAGATTTGTTTTTTTTTACTGTTTGATATGATAGATGAAATGAGTAATATATTGTTGTTGTTGTTTTTTCGTCATCCTTTTATATTAGTGGTTGTATGAACTATGCACGCTTACGAATCAGTGACGAGAGGGAGAAAAGGAGAGATGGATGGTAGCAACACCAAACACATATACACAACAAGAGGATTTATCATAGAACGAAGAAAATATAACGCTAGTAGAAATTATTGCGTGGGTGTTATTGATAAAAAAAGAAAAAAAATGGTTATAATTACCGAGGATTAATATATCTTTAATAATGATGTTTATCTCAACTATTATTTTCAATATAAATTCATCCTGAATATATTTGTTTTAAAAACAACAAATATTGTCTTACTTTTTTAGATTTCAGTATAACCATCATGACATCGTCTATTAGCGATTTTTATGAAGGAAAAAATCTTATAGTATTTGGATCAACAACATTTCCTGGAAAAGTTTTATTGGAAAAATTATTACGTTCATGTCCAAATATTAATCAAATTTATTGTCCAGTACAAATAACTCCAGAAAAATGTAATCATCTTCTATCACCCATTGATATATTTGCTGAAATCTATACAACAAAATTATTTGATCGTGTACGTCGTAATAATCCTAAGTTTCAAGAGAAAATTATTCCATTTGATATTAATATATTATTTTCATCAAATGATGAGAAAAATTCCGATATTGAAGTACAAGAAATCTCGCAATTAATATCTCATAGAAACTTACAAGATACAATTGATTTATGCTTTTATATGGCAAATAATTCTGTAGATTTTAAAGAACAAAATCTCAAAGACTTAATTCAAACAAATGTTATAGATCTCAAAAGTATTTTAAGTTTTCTAAAAACTTGCACAAAACTTAAATCAATTGTTTATCTATCATCTATATACGCAAATATTGGTAAATAGATTTTGTTTTATATTGACTGAAAGAAATATAAATGAAAATATTTTTCTTTCTTTAGATTGTCCATATATTGACGAATGTGTATATCCATGTTCGATTGAACCTCATAAATTAGTTGATGCTCTTGATTGGATGGATAAAGAAATGGTTGCATTAGCTACACCAAAATTAATTGGACCAAAACCTAATGCATTTTCATTTTCTCATTGGCTTGCTGAAAGTATTTTATCTGCAGAACAAAAAAATCTTCCATCATTATCAATTGTTCGTGTATCAATTATTGGTGCAGCATGGAAAGAACCATATCCAGGTTGGGTAGAAAAATCAAATGGACCAAGTGAATTATTTGTAGCTGCTGGTCGTGGTTATTTACGTTCAATGAAAGGTGATTCACATGATATACTTGATATTGTACCTGTTGATATTCCTGTTAATTTATTAATTGCGGCTGCCTGGCAAAAATATTTAGATGAAAATTCTGAAAATATTACAATTTATCATTGTACATCAAGTGGTCTTAATCCATTTCATTGGCAAGATATGAGTAATTATTTAACTGAATATTCTAAACGTATACCATATGAACATGCATTTCGTCGTCCTAATTTATCTGTAACAAGTCATAGTTTAATACATGATTCTTATGTATTTTTTTCACATCTAATTCCAGCTCATTTAGCTGATATTGGTTTACGTTGTATTGGTCAAAAACCACATATTGTTAATATTTATAAAAATCTACACCGAACACTTCTTTCACTTGAATCCTTTCAAATTCGAGGTGAAATACAATGTTCATATGATAGTTTAAATACTTTAAGACAGTTATTAACTGAAACAAATACAGCAAATGAATTCTATTTTGATATACGTGCATTACATTGGCCAACATATATTGAATCATATTTAATTGGTACAAAACGTTATGTTTTAAATGAGGATACACAATGTTTTAATGGTGCACAAAAACATTTAAATAATTTAAGAAATATACGTTGGACATTTAATACAATAATACTTGTTCTCTTATGGCGAATATTTATATCAAAACGTCCTACAGCAAGAAATCTTTGGTATTTTATAATAAATTTTTTTGTGGCAAAATTTGTTCGATTCTTTAAAATTCTAAGTGCTGGAAATACTTGAAAAATCAAAAAAATCAAACTGACAAAATATCTTTTCTTTTATCAAAATATAGGTTAATTTGAGTGGTATTCTTAGACAACTCTCTATCTATGCGAAAAATTAACATTCACGTCTTCTTTCTTTCTTTCTTTCTTTTTTTGTTTAAATCTTTTGTTTCGTCGTTTTTTTTCATCTGTGTTTATTAGACCGGTTTATGTTGTGTATGTCAACCCTTCTGATTCTTTTTTTGTGATTTGTTCTGTCTAAAAAATTTTTTTTTGATATTGTTTCGTTCGTCGTGCTTCAAAAACAAAAACAAAAATTGATTTGAAAAAACATCTGACATTTTCATTAAAATAAAACATACCGTTCGACATAATAACACAAGAGAAAAAAAGTCTTTCACTAAATAATTCTCAAGTTGCATTCATAATTATCTTAGGTGTTTCATTCAGCAGACAATGACATGAATCTACTTTATTTCAAGCACGCTAGTAGTTTCTATATTGTATTAAGACTAAGTGTGAAATGTCAGGCTAGACTATAGTTGACATGAAAATCATGCTCGAATTGTAGTGGTTTGCTATATGTCTAGTCTTATCAACAGTGTTTTATCTAGGTTTTTTCCTCCGAGAGTGCGATAGCGAATTCCGGGAGGGGGAAAACTGAATTTCTGGAGTTAATACGTAGTATAAGCACAAAAACTGCAATTTTTGGGAGAGCGCGGTCATCCCTGCCCTCCCTCTAGATAAATCACTGTTTATCAGATCCTCTATAAACTAAAGATAATAAAAAATTTGGGTGGATTTATTCGTACAATGCTACGAGGAAAATATTTTTGAGAGCTTACTTTGATGACATGTAGTGGATGTAATCAAAGTTGACATAATTCAAAGTATGGATTTGAAGATTTTCTTTTTTCAAGTGAGCGTAACGATAGACAAACTAACTACTTCTATATTTGGTATATCAGTTCGTAAAAATTTAGTTTTATCAAGTTGAAAGGATTACATACGACCAAGCGATAATAAACTAAAACAGTATCAAAGTAAGTTTATCAGGCTATTATTTCACCTCACTAAATCAAATTCTACTATATTTCATATACTCTAAAACACTTTCAGATTCAATAAGAATAATGTTTTTAAAATTAACATTGAAGAAATATATTGAATCAGTAGTTTGGTTTTTTTTGAATAAGTAGAGTATTTTTAACTCGTACTTGTCATCTGCCCTTGTACATGTATACTTGTCCTTATATTCAAGTATATATAAATGATTGAATCGCAATAAAACTAATTATTCTATACATAGTTCTAAATACCATTGCCATATGTCAAAAAAAAAAATCTTTAAATAGAAAAGAAAAAAATAACTAGTATATCATATTTTAAAATAGACTACGGAAAAGCGAAGTACAAATTACTATCGTTTACAATCGGAAATATGTGATGAGAATAGTAATTGATTGTTGTGAAACGCTCATTGGCTTAGTATACTTTACGCGATTATTTTCTCATATTAGACAATTTTGGTATTCAAAATACTACTATGAATATATCTTGATAAACTGAATAGAATATCTCAGTTAATCAATTAACGAAAAACGTAAACAGGTGATATTTATTTTGGTTTTTCTAAGATAAAACTTAAGATTTTTCCTATACTAAACGAGTAGAAGTATTTTATATTCCCACATGGGAAATTATCTATTGGTTTTTGACATTGCTTTTTAGCAAATTTCGATTACCTATTATATAAAAGAAAATCATGTAGCATGTCACCGGAAAATATAAACGATTAAGTTGAATAGAATATTAGAGAAAACAGATGGATAGGTTATTGAACTTTCTCTTGTTCGGAAACGAGAAAAAGGAAAGAATAATATTTCGTCAATGTGATTTTTTTTCTAAAAACGTTTCTATCTGTTATATCTCACGGTAATTCATTGATCTAATGTTAAACAATTGTTAGTCGGAACCGATTCGATCGACCATTGAGACGCTATATTGAGCTGTAGTAGAAACATACATAAAAAACATTTTATCAACACCAACGCACATTAGAGCAAAAAAAAATGATATGTGTCTCTTATAGATAGAAAAAAATTAACAAAGAGAAAAAATGAGTGGGAGCGCATAAATAAATCTACCCGTTTCTTAAGAATCTCCTATAGCTTTTGATGTCCGGCTTTTGTAAGCTCGGAAACAGAGAGAAAATGAGAGAAAGAGAGAGAAGAAAAAAGTTCTTTTTTTCCATATAAATCAACGAGATTCATAATACTATTCGATTTATGCTAGTTAAGCCTTCATTTTCCTTTTTTCTCCTCTCTCTCTGTCTACATATATATCTGTAATTTGTTCTTCTTATTCTAGCAATCGACATTACTGCACAAGCTTCGAATCCTCTTACGCTTAAATTTCTTTTTTGTCAAATCAATAATGTTATCTTGTGCTATACGATTTGTTATATTTCTTGCCATTTGTCTAGCAATTACTCATGCATATCCATCATCATCAATGCACAGAATAAAAATGGTTAGTACATCTTTATTCTTAATTAAACAATCTTTGTGATATAAGAAAATTTTAATGAGAAAATTATTTTTAAAAAACAGGATCTAATTTTTCTTACAAAACCGTGACTGATGTTCTTAAAAATCTATTTCTTTTGTTCAAAATTTTAGTCATTAGCACGCACTGCAAAATATCCTGTCGCTTATGACGGACAAAATGTTGATTACAATAATCATTTGGTAGATACAAATGATAATGGTAGGAATATACATTTGTATATTATTTTCAATTAAATCATTGTTATTCTTTTTTAAAGATATAAATGACAGTAATGGCTTTGCAACATGGTTATTTCGTTCGCGTAAATTCTGCTGTGCACCACCATTGTAATAACATCATAAATTTAAAAATAAAGGAAAAAAGAAACTTTTAAATATATATAAGTTATATTATTTCTTTTTTTTGTTGTTTACACAAAAAAATTTTTTAGAGACACACAGAAAAAAAGAAAACCAGATCGTTACATAAAAAAAAAGAAAAGAAAATAAAGAGATGAATTATGTAAAGAAAAAATACATATGAGATTTATGTAAAGTTTTTTTTTTTGATTTTATGATACGACTGATCGTATTGTTGTTGAAGATAAATTATCTTCAATATAATCGATTGAATAATCAATTAAAGGACGATTTGATTCAATCTCAGCATCGATAAGATCATCATCATCATCTTCGCCAGCATCATCGTTAATTGCTGCATCAGCATACATTACTTGTGGAATGAGAGTTTGTGAACTTCAAAAAAAACAAAATTTTCGTATATAAAAGGAATATCGAAGAGAAAACTTACCTTAATGCTCGTCGTAGAAATTGATGATAAACAAATGGAGCAAAACAAATATAAAATACACATGTCGTACCATCAACAATACTAATACAATAAAATAGAAATATTTAGTAAAATCTCTCAACAACAAAATAATAATTTTCATCTTGTCACCAATAGGAAAAAAAACAACAGTATAATTAACAAAGAGTTTTAAAAGACATGTCTTTGATCATTGGTTAAAAATACAACTCATTTACTCGAAACATAATAATAGTATAGAAGTTTTCGTAGTAAACGCCCTTCTACGTTGAGTTTTTCCTATTTTTACAACAAACTGCGATTGATAATGATACATAATCAATAGTTTTTATGAATCTTGCTTGAAGCCTGAAAAAACTTACCACATAGCATATTTTGTAGTTTCAGTTAAATTTAAAATTGTTCCAATTATTTGAATCATATTTATAATTGCCATGATAAAACAATAGATATAAAACGATCGACGAACTATTGTTTAGAAAAAAAACAAATAATTATTAGTATTAATAGTCGTCATTATTATTCTATTTTACTTGGTAAATATTTACGATGTTTATGACATAAACATGGTAAAAAGAAGATAATTATATACATCTAAGGATAAAAGAATTCAAATCATTTATATGTATGTAGATTTCAATTTACAATAAGAAAAATTGCGCTTGATATAAGAAGAAATTTCATTCCACCATATGAATAAAGATTATAATTCGATAGTTTAAAACTGCTTGGACGTGTATCACCTTCGAATTCAAGTACACCCTTTAAATGAAATATTTATAATAAAAAAAGTTCATGATTTAAAAAAAGAATGTATTACTTGTGTTATTGTATAAATTAAAGAACAAATGGATGAAATAATTAAGATTTTTGCAGTTTTTATCCATTGTCGATTTGGATTGGAACGTCCTAAATAAAAACCTTTTAGAGATACTTTTCTAATTAGTTTTTTTTTGTTTACCAGAATAAATTCCGAAAAATAAAAGACTTAATTCTGTACATAAAAGTGTAAATCGAACAAGTAACCAAAGTATCTAAATAGCAAGAGAATATAATTTAATAAAAAACCAGAATTCAATATGCTTACTTTTAATATAATGCCTTTGATATGAGATACTTGATCGGCAAAAACCATAGCATATAAACATCGTAAAATATTAATAAATGATACAGTAAGAATTAAACAATATACACTTAATAATAATGGTTTATTACAATTTAATTTTGTTCGTGTATAAAACCATTTAGTAAGAATAAATAAAAGAAATATAAGATTTGGTAGAAGTATTATTGTATCGAAATAATGAATTCTAAAAAAATAAAAACAAAGAATTATTTATGCATGACAAAATATGTAG